AGAAATTATACACATTAGATTTTGAAGTTAACATATAAGTAAAATGTTTGAATCGGCTTTTTTATATATAAAAATTGTAAAATGCATAATGTCGATCCCTTAATTGAATACAATTACTGTAAGATGAAGGGACATATCTTATGTAACATTGGATTAAGAACAATTAAATGTGTCATAATTTTAAATTTTTATAATTGAAAGGACATGTTTGATGACCATTAGTTATCCAGTTAATTTGACATGCCAATCCAAGTATTTGAGAGTTAATATTTTATTAGTTTTGGATATATCTTTTTATATAATTGCAAATCAATTTAAATTAGGTAATAGTTAACATAAATTAGCTCTATAAAAAATATCATAATGAAGCGTGAGCAAATATAGTATTGTTAAATAATAAGACTATACAACTATCTCAATTTCGCACTATTTACATTTAATAAAATAAAATCTGGCTTTATATTTACCTTCTATACTTTTCTCATTATCATGATCTAAACTGCATAATAGACATAATGTCTCATCAGTAGTGCTATAATAATCGAAATTTTCACTACTAAATTCTCTATATAAAGTAGAATATTGATTCAATATTTTATTGCAAAAATAGGTTCAGTCATAACTTGGGTTAGATCGATCAGAGAAAGATGTAGATAATACATTTATTAATGTATTTACAGCCTTAATCTAATTTTTAAAGAAAGTTTTCAAAGTCATATGACTCTAATCGTAAAGAATCTTTACAGTTTTATTGTATGAACTTGTCACTAAATTCACATGATCTATAATATTTTACATTTGTGGGTAACTGAGACTCGAAATAGCATCAGCACTATAAAAGACCTGTTTAATTTTTTCTATTCCTAATGTACTAAATAATTTATATAATTTCTAACTCTAAGGATTTTTTGACGCAAATTCACATCTGTTATATCAGGTAAAAGCTGTTTGATTTCTTAATATACCATAGATGTTGCAGTTTTTTTCTTAACTCTATCAGCAACAAGGTTATCAATCCTTTATCATATTTTTCTATAAAGTAATACCAGTATAAAATTGCTTCTTAACTAAGCTTATTAGCTTTCTTAAATATACAAACTATATTTTGTACGGTATCTGAAGATGGATTCTGTTCTTCTGAAGTTTGATCTGACATAGATGTATGTGCAGGTGATGATAACTGTTGCTTTAACTCCTGTTCCACAATTATATTTTTATTCAACTTGGTAATAACTTCATCATGCAAATCGGATTTAAGTTCTTCTATGTCACATGACTCTGATTGTGAAGAATCTTCATAATTTTCAAGATTACATGCTAATTTAGATGCATTAACTTGCAGTTGCTTTGATAAGACACAAGATGCTGATCTTATGCTCTCAGAACTAGCCTCATAAGATTGTGATAAGTCTTGCTCGTTTTGCTTACCTTACTCTAAAATTAATATGTCTGTGACCTCAGAAATTTTAGTCACGTCCTGAGAAATTACGAGTATCTCTTAATCTCTCTATTCTTTTCCCGCTTCTTCTCTCTAATCTTATTGCTAATGCTTTCTTATATACATCATCCAAGAAATTGACCATTTCCTCATCGTTACTATCAAGGTTACTAGATGCTCATCCTACTTCATTATTGAGTTGATCTATTACAGAGTCAGGTACATCAACAGTTGGTAAAGTCACCACCGGCATCACCTCTTCATCATTTTATGTCTGACCAAATGATAATGCTTTCCCATCCACTGCTGAACCCTGTTCTAATAATGCAAGTCTACCCTCAAGCTCTCTAACTCTAGACTTGAGTTCAGCATTCTCAGCATCACGCCTTGCATTCTCTTCAATAATTTGCTTCAGCCTCGCATTCTCAGCCTTAACTTCAGCAAATCTTAGTAACTCCTTTCTAAGTTCGGGAATCTCAGCATTCTCCTTCCTAAGCTCTGCAATCTCAGCTAAGAGCTTGGCATTTAATTCTCTCAATGAATCAGTGGATTGCATGTTTGATGATAATTTTTATATGAGATGGAATAATTCAAAAGTTTGTTAACATAGATAAAAAACGAGGTAATATCTTCATCGGAATTACTGATTTATTGATGTAAAAAATAAATTATAAGATTCAATAATACATAAACTTGTTTACAATGTGAAATGGCGATTCTATATTAATGCCTGTAGTGTTTCGTTCATCTAATGCTCTAAGCTATCTATATACTAATAAAATATCCCAACTTAACTCTAATCCGATTTCATTTGCCTCAACATCGATATTCTGGATAGAATAAAATGGCCGTCAGTGCTTATACGAGACGTGCGGTGTATAAGCATTTACCTGAATCCCACCGAAAATTTATAACGATTGAATAAACATCTCAGGTTCCCGGCAATAATTTTGCCGATGCCATTATTACACGATCTATCCTGATACTTTCTATGTAAAAAAGCTTATAAGTACAAAATGACCAAAAAAGAAATGCAGGAAAAAGAATTATACAGCAAAGCGTGTGTTGCCGAAAGTATCAAATTTGTCATTGACGAAGCGAGGAGTATGAAAACTTTTTTCGCAACCTAGCAACTATATTAGCAAGAAACAGGGAAGTGGTAGCAGTAAGATTAATCCCCTACCCAAATAAATGTGAAGTTTTCATTGCTAAGAATGACTATTGGCTCGAAGAAGATATTGTGTATATCGACAAAATCAAGGAAAATGTGAAAAGTTTGTCTAAAGATGCTCCCATAATATTGGATGATGCTTTGGAAAGGGAGGATGTGGGAAATTTATTCGGAGATGTATTGGAATACTATTCTGCTAAGATCAATACTAGATTTAATAAACTTAAAGATGACATAAAGTATCACGATAAATTTTAATTTTTATATAGCGATATTATAATTTTTTGATATAATGTTAAAGTTAAAGTTATTTATAAAAACAATCATTATTATATATATTGAATTGATAAATTTTAAATTAAGTAAATAAATTTAATATTTTATTTATAACGGTAATAATAATGTTAACATTAATAATAAAAATATATTTATGTGATAAAATGTTTATTATCGTTATCATTATTATTATAAAAACTCAAAATTAATGTCAAATAAATAAAATTACTAATAATTGAATAATAAATAAACAAAAGCAAAAAATA